GTAAGCTTGTAAACGGTGCGGAGGCTTTATCGTTTTACGAGACGGCATCGTCGTTCCCACTGGCTATTCGCAAAAAGAACCCTCTTTCCACACGGATAAAAACAGTAGAGAAAAATGCGTAGGAGAGTCACGATCGTACGGGGGAGTAGATATTTGAAAATATAAGTGAAAGAAACTCAACGCAATGAGGGTACTTAAGTCATTCTTGGAGGAAGGGTGCCGTCGGCGAAGGGGTCGCAATAAAAAAATCTCTCCCTTCTTCGGGGCAATAAGGAGAAATTTTTAATGCCTTCTCCGTAGTTCACCACCTCTCGACGTCTCTCTCGTAATATCGTGCCGCCCCCTGCAGGCTGCTGCTGCCGCACCGCCCGCCAGCGACTTCGTCGAAGCTTTTTGCCGCGCACGGTTTTTTATATTTTTCGACAAATTGGAATTGAGCACGAGACGGCAAGACGGCGAGTATTCGCGATCGAGGACGATTCCACTTCGTTTTTACCTCGACACCCTCGCCTCGCCCGTGCTCGGCTCCGCTCGTTGCCGCGCACGAATCACGAACTTTGTTTCGCGCGTCGAAGCTTTTCCCACTTCCCGCTACTTAATCCTTTTTATTCCTGCCTTTGCCTAACGCGCGTGTTCGACGGACAGACTCGAACCCGCTCCGCTATTTTTGCAAGGTAACTCGACTCGCGGCGAAGAGAGATTAGCCGCGCCAAGCCGATTTGCGCGGTTCCTACAAATCCCGCGTTTAAATACCGCGAGGATTCGCGGCCGGCGCGGTTGAAATATTCGTCAGAAATGTACGGGACGTCCGAAGAAAAATATTACACGATAGAGAGTTTTACATGTCGAAAAATTCGAAATCGATGCTGCTTGGTGGAAATATAATGCAACGTTTTATAGTTTGACTTTCTTGTAATCTTCATCTATAAATGAATCAATCAATTTTGAGTCAGATTAACGATTCGAACGAAAATCTAAGAAGATTGTATCTTTCCGAAGAAAATTATTATGACGCAATTTTATATTTCAGTAGAACCGTGGCGGTTATTCGTCTTATTTATTGTCGCGTCTTGATTACGCATCGCATTCTCCATTCGGCGACGGAGGTCACGAACACGCAAAATTGGTATTCATCTAATCTGCATATCTCCATTTCCCGAAGATACCGCATAGCGACTACAGCTCCGGAAGTAAGTCCGAGCACGTCGATACACTAAAGTCTCGGTCTCACTGGCCATCAAGAGCGTATAAAAACGTCATTAGATGCAGAAAATTTTTTTTTGAAAGTTTCCCGATCACGGATGTCCTTCGAAGAGATTCAGGATTATAAAAGCAAACAGTCATTACGTTAACCCTATCATTGGATCCCTTACAATCGCAAATTAAGTTCGGAATAGTAAAAAATTTAGTGCTATTTTGTTGCCAATTTGATGTCCCAGTCTGAATTTTGCGGCTCCAGGCGTGTAGCAGAAAATCGCGTACAAAATGGGGGGGGAGCTTGCTATTAAGCCAGCTTAATGGCAAGAGAGAGAGAGTGAGTGAGAGAAAGAGAGAGAGAGAGAGAGAGAGAGAGAGAGAGAGAGAAAGCTGGACCCCACCCCATACAAAATATATAAAGTGTGGTCCTATCAAAAAAATTAATACACTAAATCTTATTGCTCTTTTTGTTGCTCAAAGATAGCGTTAAAAAACATTTACAAAAAATAACATTGCTATCTATAAGCTGACACAGTTACTTCAGCATAATCAAATGCGACTTATGTAAAAATAACTAGCTATTTATTAGCTTTATATGCAAATTAATAGCTCTAATCCCGATTATTTTGTTCCAGCTGATTCGCAGGAACAAGGGATGTTCTAGCTTTTGAGATCGAGAAATACTTCATTATTCGCCAGAATTAAAGCAGATAACGTTTATAAGTAAAAGTAAATGCGGAAATAAATATGAAAGTAAATAGCTAATGACGAAAGACTAATATCGTTATTAAATTATTATTGAAAACTGTTGCTTTAAAACAATTATTAAGAATATGATATTTTTCATTTTATTAATAAAAGGATAACAAATAAACAATATACCACATGCACGGAAGAGCCGCGCCATGTCGGGATAAATGCAAGCCCGCTGCTTCTCCGGTGATGCACCGCCGTCGGTGACGTAAACAACGTTCACGGAGTCGCGCCCGCAACGTGAGTAATGCACCCCTCGCCACGGTCGGTGCAGTCGGATTGATGCGGGCTGTCGAGGACCACCGTCTATACGGTGAATACAAAGTATCGAGCAATACACAAACGGAGTTTCAAAAAGAAAGAGAAAGAGAGAGAGAAAGAAAGAGAGAGACGAGACCATTCGGTCCTCTCGGTGGAAAGAGATCGGGTGCGCGCGCGCGTCGAGAGGACGCAGAATGGAGTTTACTCCGACGAATTCAATCTCCGTGTGAGAAAAGACGAGATCGTCGGCCCGATCGTCTATGCATGCGCCACGCGGGAAGTATATCCCGGAAAATGCGGGGCATCGCTCGTCGTCGTCGCATCGAGCATCTCGTTGCTGCCGGGGGAAGAATCGAGCTGCACTTAAGGACGATATCCTCGCGATTTGAAGGGACGATTTGAGGAATCTCTCTCTCTCTCTCTCTCTCTTTTTCTCTCTTCCTTTCTCGTTTTCTCACTCTTTCTCGATACTCGACGGTTGTCCGCGATCCTTCCTGAAATAACCGCGTAGCATCTCGAGGGGTAAGCGACGATGAAATATAAAATGATCCTCTACTCTCGACAATTGAATTTGTGCGTGACAAACGCGCGCAATAGTAAATATTTCGATGTTATTTATCGTTGTTTAAAAGTCAGTTTACGCTTCGTCAGTCGAAATGCGGTTTCGAGTATTTCGTGGAAATTTAAGGCCTTCAAAATTTAGAATTTGTGATTTCTATTTTTGGAATGGATTTATAACTTTAATAAGTGCAATGTGATGCGATGGCTTTCGAAAACAAACAACATATATGAATATTTAAAAAAATTACAATAATAAAATATTTACAAATTTAAAATCACACATAACGCATCAATGGAAATATCATATATTTCTCGTATCGAGCTTTTCCTATCCCGTTATACCTCGATTCTTGTCGAACGTCCCGAAAGTGCGTCTCATGATTTATAGCATCCCCCTATCGTTGCACAACGATACGTAACTCACCCCAGCGCGTGGCATAACGCGCCCCGGCCCGAACGAAGATGAGAACCGAACCCGCGCTATTTATTAATGTATTTATCCGCGCATAATCTCCGGCGCGCTCTCGCGTCCGGTTAAGATGATATACAAGCGGCGTGTATTTTAAATTGCGAGAGGAAATAACGAGTGCCGCGCATGCTGCGTTGCGCTACGCGAGTTGCAGATGCGTCTTGTTCGGTTTGTTTGTCAAAAGTTGAAATACCCGCAGCCTAGAGTCCTCAATCTAGAAAATTTCTCGTTTATTTTACTAGGCGAGTCTTTATTTTCCTATTCTGTACTGCAGAAGTAATTTTTTTTCAGTACAGATTCTATTGATCTCTCCTAACAGTACAAATTCTACTTTCGATTCAATTTCTACATATCTCGCTCAAAATGCACACACCCTCCTTTGTTATTTCATAATTCTCTCGATTTTTGTAAAATAATTGCCATTAATTACTGAGATAAAATGAAACGAAATTTTATGTAAATTTCACCGAATAACATGCGAATCGCTTTTTTAATTAATTATTTAATTAATTAAATATTCCGTTCGTCATTTGTTATAATATAAAACTTGTAATTAAGAACGCTGGAATGCTAATGGTCCACTGGGCAAATCGAAATAAGCAGCGAGCAAATGCGATATACGAATGTTAATCATTCCTTAAAAAAAGAGGGAGGATAGAAGTACGGTAGATTTTCCTATACGTGATCCTTTTATGCACTAAAAAGCTGCGCAATGGCGCTCAACACACAAATCGATAAAATGCAAACGCGGGATGTAGAAAAATAAAGCAACGTCGAGAGCAAAATATACTTCGATGCGCACGTTCCGCGTGATCCACGCTGGGCGTGCGGTGTACTCTTTATTTACGTACTGCGCGTATTACAAGTTTTTTTTGCGCGACGTTGTTATTTGCGTCAGAACAAAAAAAAAGCGGTATCGTTATTAAGATTACATTACAATTGTGAAATGTATTATTCCGCGGCGCGCGTTTCCCGAAATTTACGACGTGAGGAGCGTTTTCAGCGCCGAGCTCTGTTTAACGCGATATATATCCCCCATACGCGAAATATTTTAATCGTATTTTCATACATTTGTATGAAATTTATAGCCAACCCCTGGCGCGGCGCCGCGGGAAACGAGACGTGTGCGAAATAACGAATAATGGCGCTATACACCGATAATATGCTAATCGCGGTAATGAGATCGTGCAAAATTACAGACGTAAAGGCGAAGGCAATTAGACAGTAGCGACGGACAAAAGAGGTGCGAGCGAACGAAGAGGGGGAGGAGAGGTCGGACCGGGACCGCGCGATCGTAGAGAAGCGCAGCGCGAAGAACTTTTATCTCTCTGCGAATGTGCGGCACGTTCCTTTCATAATGTGTCGCGGAATCATTTAAAGTTGCTGCCATTCGTGCAAGTAGCGAGAGGAGAACGCGAAGAGAGACAAAGCCGGACGTGAGAGGGGCGAGGAGGGGAATGAGAGAAAGAAGGGCACGTCTCTCAGGACTGAGAATATCGCCTCGTTGAAGCTTTGTTCGTCGCGAGATACACTCGGCATTTACTTACCGTCGTACGTCGGCCATTGTTAATTCGCTGAACAAACTTTTTCAATTGCAGGAACAGCGTCGTCTCGGTGCAAACGTAGAGGGCCACTCCGCGACGGAGAATTGGAGTTCTCCGAAGAATTCCCGATCGTACCCGGTCGAAAGTGGAAAAACCGTGGACTGGACTATCGCATTGGGACATGAAGTTTGAACCGTTCGCCTTCCTGCTGCCCTGCTCCACTCCGCCCGTCGTTCCGAACAATTATGCAATTGATATTGATTCCCTTTCGTTCTGGAAAAAACGTTCGTCATTTACAAGCGATTTCCATCTTGGTAAAGCCGTGCGCGATACAGCTTTAATCAGTCAGGAAGTTCAAACAATGTTAATCTCCCCCCCCCCCAAAAAAAACAATGCCTTTGGAAAACCGGTGAACAATTTCGAGAGTTTAACGTAAAGCACACTGCTTTATTAAAAAGAAGCGAAGAATGATCCAGCTAAAAATATAAAACGAAAAACAAAAGCTATGTTAAATACTGTAAATCCAAGCTATTTATAGAAGTATTAATCATTCACTTCATTATATCATTATATCGAATTGAGCAAAATCAACATCTTTGAACCGTAAGTTCATTGTTTATATGTAGAACAATATTTTAAAAAAGTTCTTTTCATCTAATTTACGTGTAAATTCGGGTCTACGAATTCACCCGTAACAGAGGCGGCGGGAAAGCGAAGCGATTTTTTAAGCTATCCGGTCGCGAGAGTTACGGCTTGGCGAGGCGGAAAAACGCGTTCCTGAAAAATGCGAAATGCGTCTGACGGAAACCACCTTTGCGCTCGTCAGATTTTCGTCATAATCCTGGAATCTTGTGGAAAGGTGAAGAGACGACCGTGACGACGGGGCGGGGAGGCGAAGGGGGATCTGAAAGGCAGGCAGGAAAAACCGGAGGGTGAAGGAGCCATTGACATTGACTTTGTCCCGTTGGCGAAATGGAAGAAGAAGAAGAAGAAGAAGACGAGGAAGGATTCGAGAAAAGCAGAAGAATGAAAAATGTTATGGGAGGAGAGAAAAGGAAGATCGTCTTCATAGAGCAGATTTGGGGAAGGAGAGAATTTATGAAGTGGCCGATTGTGACAACATCAAGAATTATAAGTAAGTAAAAAAATAACATTTAATTTGATAAATCGACTTGGCCAAGAATATCCAATTCAATTAACCAGAACGTACACAGAAAGAATTTTTTTCTTGTGTGTAAAACACAATAAGTTCTCTCTCTCTCTCTCTCTCTCTCTCTCTCTCTCTTTCGTGTAAAGTGTAAACTATTGGTTTTGTGAATAATGGAAAGCATTGATTTTGTGCTTTTAAGAGAATGCACCGAAGTTCCGGCGGAAGCGATATATCCGTCTACTTCACCGATCTCTCCATATGAGGTAAACCATTTTACCGAAAATGAAGATTACTTAAATAAATCTACTGCAATAAAAATCGAGATTTTCTGTGTTGCAGTTGGAAATAAAAAAAACTAAATGCGCGCAATATTTCTATTGTGGCAAAATCTTTTATGAAAACTTTGAGTTAATTCTGAACGATAATTATATATATAATTACATCATTACATCGATAATTAATTACATCAGAACGAATAAATTATCGCTCAGCTATTCGCATCCGGCAATAAATATACGCCTTTTTTATTGTGAGCCAACTTTGCGACAATATATACAATTTAAAGTGATGTGCTTATAAGCTTGAAAAATCAACAGTACAGAAAAGATAGCGAAAGTGCTTGCGTTGGTAGTTTTGCCGTTTTGAACCAGTTTCGCCGGAAGTTCGTACATGTCTCGGTATGAAGTGTAGTCCCCGTGAGAAAATATTTAGATGCCCCAACATGAAAGCCGATATATCGATCGCAGTACACTTGAGAGGAGTTATCACTGACGTCGCGCAGCAACGAATTTAATGTAACAACGAATTTTTGATATTTCGAATTCGAAGTATTCAGCGATTCTCGGAATACCTCGTTGACTCCGGTACTTTGACAGTCCGTTTTCTTGATATAAAAGTACATACCTTATAAGCAATATTTAAACGGAAAAATGAGAACAATGTTAACTTAATGCGGAATATCCGAGAATCTTTGGCGTATACGTTTAATAAAACGAAATTTCGGAGGAAATTTCGTGCAGCATATTACAAGAAATGAAGTAATATCGCGCGCTCGCGGAAGGACAAACATTGCATATTATCCCAGTTTATCAACAATGCAATCTCGCGCGCATACATACCGGAACATCGATCATACGCGGGCATTGTATCGAGAATGTATTGCAAAATGCAGCCGAGCGTGTCTCAAAGTGTATCGATAATTCAGCGCCTATCCTGCAATACGCTCGAGATGAATTTGGCGACGTGACCGATGATCCATCATTCGTCGAGAATTCGATAAAGTGACCCGTCACCCAGTCCGCGTAGTGATAAACTTCGATGAAATTCATCTCGCGCCTAAATAACTCGCGTTCCAGATTCTACGGTGGTTTCTTTGCAATTAATGCTACATATATATATATATATATATATATAGGTGCAAGAGAGAGAGAGAGAGAAAGAAAGAAAGAGAGAAATAAATATAAACGTAGAATAAACTTTACCGTTATTTTTTTTATAAGAAAGTATGCATTATTATTATCTTATTATTAATAATTCATCACTTATTAAATTTTGGTTACTTAAAGTCAATACCATGTACATTTATATATTTTAGAAATCGTGTTTTTAGTTTCAATAATATTATGTTAACTAATAAAAAATTGGATATTAATAATTTAGACTTAGTATAATATTGGTCTTCTATATTTGTATGCTTATTTTTGTTTTCATATATATCTATATTTTCCTATATTATTTTAAGAAAGTCTGAATAATATCATCGTTCCAAATCTCGGAACTTATTAAGAGACATGATAAATTTTTTATTAAACCTTGCTGCTGGTGGTATATTTTGTTTCGATCTTACAAAAATGAAACATTTTGATAGAAAATATTTCATTTAGGTCACGATAAAAATTTGCCTTTAATAATTGTCACATCGCTCGTGAATGAACGTATATAATTTTACGCGGCGTGCAAATTTGCGAATTTTACTTTCGACATTCGTTTAATGTGTACCCACGGTAAACGGTAGGTATATAAATTAATCGGCGGATAAATGCAAGTTCGATGGCATTCATCTCAAGACCTTAATCGAACGGAAGCTTTATTTTCGTCTCCCCGGCGATGTCCATTTTCTATAAATTACTTTCGGAGTTCGTGACGGAATGGCCTCTCCGCCTTACTTTCCTCGTCTCTCCATTTACTTAAAACCCAGTCGCATAGCTTTCTGAACAATTACCCACGAGGATGGAACGAGGGAGGAACGTCGAATGGCAAATCGCTAAATGTCCCTTCTTTCGGGTGACAACGTAAAAGAGTGCTTTCACAGAACGTATCGGGACGGAGGGAGGGAGGGGGAGGGGAGAGGGGAAAAGGGCAGAGATATCGAATAGAAAATTCAATTCTCGGTAAAACGATTCTAGTAAACATACGTGCGGAAACGCTTCCTTAAAAACTCCTTGGCGAAGAACCTTGCATATCGTGCCTCCTGAATGTCGTGTTACTATTCGCGTAAGCAATCTTGAATCACGTACATATTGATCGACCTTAGCCAGGAGATGAAACGTACGTTCGCGCGCACATCACACACGAGAAATTACGGTATTATTATCGTATAACTTCGTGATGATATCGAGAGTAAGTTAACAGCTTAATTATCTCCTAACGAGATAGGTTTCGACGAAACTTGAGAGTTCACCTGTCTGCCTGCCTATCTCGTTCCGCGCGATCATTCCGAGCCGTCGCCGTGCCTCGCGCTCGAGATATTGCCGTGGATATAAGAGAGAGAGAGAGAGAGAGACAGACATCGGGCGACGTGTAGATTCGACGTGGGTTTGTCTGCATATAAAATGGGACACGCGCGTGTTTTCGGTCTAAGCGCCGTCGGTTATAAATACGGACCTAAGAGCAACGACATGCACTCACGGCATATGAAATATTCCAGTGGCCCGGCTACGTGATATTCGCAAATGTACGGCATATTCCTTTGTATCTTTGTCTACAGGTGACACGGCTAAAGTGCACTTTTCTCCAAGCGGCGGCGGCGAATGAAAAATGAGGAGGGGCGAAAGGGACAGGGAAAGAGGGAGAGAAAGAGAGAGGGAACGAGAGGGATATAGTCGACCGGCAGTTCCGAGAGAGGGGTAAGAAACATCCGAGATACAACTTTCCCGGAAGACAGGAAAGAATTAATGAGACGGGACCGAATGACTGACTACCACCACGCGAAAGACAGGGGTGGAGAGGCGGAAGGAGAAAAGGGAAGAAAGAAAGAAAAAGGAAAGGAGAATTGGATCGCCAAGATGCAAAAGTTTTCCTCAAGCTGCTCGAGTGCGTCTCTCTGCCGGTCGGAAGTCACGCGAATCGCTGCTCGCGGAAGGTGGCGTGTCCTCCTTTCTTTCCTGAGCAGCTGAGCGGCTTCTTCGTCTCCTCCACGACGGTCGGCGGAGCTAACTTCGTAATCTGAATTTTCCGCGGGGACGTCAAAATAAAGAATAGTTGAAAGCGACGAAAGTAACGAGAGGATTCTCCGCAGCTGGTCGGTATTGCGAGAGCATTACACAGTGGACGTTTAATTAAGAGACATTTTTAGACTAATTCATCTAACAAAGATGGCGAATAAGTTATTGCTAGAGAACTGCTATCAGATATTACGCATTATGCATGATGGTTACAAAATACAAATATTTAATTTAAATAGTTTTTCATGTTCAATAGTTTTAGATCATTATTACGAATATTAATTATAAGTTTTTAATAATTTATTCTATTAAAGTGGAGCAACGGTGTTATGCTTTTACCGCGTGACATCCTGCTAATATTGGCAATCGATATCTCCGCTTGTGACGGAGATAGCACGTATTTTTGTAGGCACATAAAAGAACTATTCTCTAATGTTCCGAAAATAAAAACGAAATTCTGTTGACATTGTCAGGTCACGGCGGTTATTTAGTGGGGCATTTTTAGGAGAGATGGCCTCGTTCCATTAATTTAGCATGCATGAAACGTGCTGATGTTATTTGCGGTCGTCGTTAACTAGCGCACAGTAAAGTACCATCTTTCATTTTTACTATACACAAGATAGTTTAACGATCTTTTTTCGTAAGGATGAGTATGAGTATGATAATTAAAACTCTGATAAACGAGAGAGCGTAATGATTTTCCAATAACAAAATTAAAAATTAAATGATGCTACAGATTTAATTGTTTATTTAATAGCCATTTTATGGAAGCATCAAATATAATACCCAGCTATTAATATTATCCTTAAAATTTTTATCCTAAAATTCATGTAATTCTCGCATTTTTTCGCAAAAATTTTCTTTTTACAGTTTAATTAACAAGCCCAATGAAAATAAATAAGAGTTATCACATAAGTACAATTTTAATCATGTAAAAAATTTACACGTTATCTGAAATTGTTAGATTGCAAAACATGTTAACATGCTTAATATTGCTCGAAATTGTCACTGTAGAATATTAGTCTTTCACATTTACGTGTCTATATAAACCACCGCTCTTCGCCGCTGTACGCTTTGACTAATATTAATTTCGTTTCACCGTTGCCGACGTACCCCGTACGAAAATACGACGAGAAATCATGACTTTAATCTCAACGCGAATATCTTTATCGTGCATCTCAATTTGCAGCGCCATCCCGCAAACGCAACGCGTTCACGATCAGTGCTATAATACATTTCACGCCGATCAAGTCCCGACGATCAATCGCGCAGCCGATCTCCCTCGTCGTCGTCGAATCAGATAATTTCGGTTAAGTGGGTCTCTCTCGAGAGACGATCGCATCGCGTCGGAGCGACGATGCAACGGCGGTGTCGTTTTGTTAAACGACGCTTCCCTCCGTCTCCTTGTGCCACAAAACTGTTCTCGTCTCTCGCTATTCGTCCCGCGGCATCGATCCTCATCTCGCACTCGTAAACGTCGGAGGAACGAGCTGCTCGGGGGAGGAGGGGATAAGAACAAACGCGCCGTAATGACGAAGCTTTGTCGAATTAGAGCTTTCCTTCCCAGCCATTTCGCGCTTTTCCCTTCCCATATAAGTCACCCTCGCCCCCCCCTCACCCTTCCCTTCCTCGCTCACGGCAGCACACGTGCGCATGTGTGTCGGTTACGGCATGCCTATTCCGGACGGCGTTGGTCTCCGTGCGTCGAGGTTCCTTTTCCACCCCCTATATCCTTCCTCGTCAGCCGTATGTGTATCTAGCGGTAGACATAATTAACAATTAGTTCCCCCTCTCATAAGTCGGGCGTTCCCTTGGCATGCCGGGCGTGCGTCTATTGCCCCGTAAATTGCGTTCCCTTCTCCTCGACGCAGAATTCACGCGCCGCGCGTACACGATTATACGCGGCGATCATTATTGTTACGTAACGAGGAATACCAAAGAGCTTCGATCGATCGAGCCATCGTCGAAAGTAGAAAGTTAAGAGAAGTACACGAAGCACTCTCCGCCGCGATAAGGAAACTCGCTCTGTAAAAGTAGATTAATAAAGAAGTTTATCCGACAGCAAAAAAAAAACAGAAGTCTCGGAAAGATTGGATTTAAACTTGCGGGACACCTTTAATTACGACTATGCAATGTCTTCAATCGTGAATTTTTCAGCGCGGTCTTATAACAAACTACAACAAGCCAACTTTCTATGTATCTAATTAATCGCACGACTGTGTCCTCTATAATGTTCACTCTTGCTACTTCAAGGCTGGATGAATTTGTGCGACGGAGAGGATTTTGTTTGTAAATGCAAATAGAGAAACTGCAAACTTGTACGCGTGTGTTTGAGGTGGGTGCTTCATGCTTGTGCAGCGGAATTCATTTGTTTGGCAACGGCAACCTCGGCGAATCCCTGTAGAAAAACGATCAGGCACTAAGTCGTGACGCGTGAGAAAATAGTTTTAGAATGAAAATTGTTTACGATTTTTCGGGGGAGTGTATTTTTTTCGATAGAGACATCACCCTGTGATACCATGGGAGTAATTATTCCGATATTAGAAAAATGTTCTAGTTTAGAAAACCGATAAACAAAAACGTGATAGGACGCGGTATTGAAAGACCTTGCGTTTACTTCTCATTGTAAATGGACCGCTATAAGAAATATTATTCCCAGATCTGTTCATGTTGCTAGATACATAGGTACGTGTTGAGAAAAGCGATTTCGGACGCTTTCATTGTCACTGACGACACTCGCGTTTCTTCTGCACTGTGCCAATAAACGCATTAACGTGTCGCCAACTATATCTAATGAACAAAAACCGAAACAATTTCAACGCGCTGACACGCGCGGGAGCGAGGATGACGTCACTCGGTGAGAAGAAAAATTGAGAGCGCCTTGTAACAATTGGCGAAATTGTTACTCGACACACGACCCTCGTCGAGGCTTGGCGCCTGAGACGCGCGTTTACATTTCGAAACATCTTATTCATTGACGATTTAATAATTCATAACTTTGTGATCCCGTCGATAGTAATAATAAAAAAAAGCTTCGCCAGTTTACATCGCGAGTTCGCAAATCAATCGCTTCTTTCCCATTGAAACTTCCTTCGCTCTCCTTCGGCAAACTTTATTCGCAGATATTTCGTCCGACAATATGGAGGGTTATTTGTGTGTAAAACTCTCTCCGACTCGGGGATAAGTGCGGAAAATAGCATTGCATTCCTGAAAAGTATTTCGTGCCTTTTTATGACTTCGTTTTTACGTAAGCAAAAGGAGAAAAAAAATGCACAGAGATAAAAACGGACATTCCGTTACGCAATACGACCGAAGGATTGTGTACATATTCATCCATAGCAACGCACTTTTAAATATCAAATGTTATACGTCCGAGGTCCGACCATCGACGTTCTCTCGCTATCGCGGCGCGCACACTCGTGGGATAAAATAAAAGCTTATATTACAGCAACGTTTAATAACGAGATTAACAACGCGCAATAAACTAATCGAATTTGTAATACGTTTGCGCAGTCGACCGCGGACCACGTCTATACGATTTGCGGCCTATCCGATTTATTAAAACCGATCCTCTTTTCTTCCCCGCGTGAATCGTTTTATCGTTTTATTTAATTACGTTATTTTATTCGTAACAAAATTATAATCCATTTATTCGCTCTCTACTTACTCATTTTATTAATTGCTTCATTCGATGAGCGCGAAATAAGACCGATTGACTTCCGCATTATCGATTTTCGGCGCGGGCGTAAGATATATTTGCGTTCATATTATCAAACTTAATTACATAATGTCGGAGAGCGTATTTTTTTTCACATCTACAAAAAGAACGCGTTTAAACTTTCTTGTGGATGGACTTTCTTCTATTTTTTTTTCTCCTCGTCGATGACTCGAGGAAGTTCGGTCCGAATAATCCTCGGCCAGACGATAAGCGCCGTTTCTCAGGGAAAATGAGCGCGAAATTAATGCGTCCCAGCGGTAGAATCGGGTGAGCGCGAGTTTGAAGTCGACCGACAACGAGGGTGAGGCGGCCGCGGCGCGGCGCGTACGTGCGGATGCGCGCTCGAGGCGAGGCTCCGCGCGAGGCGAGCGCCCGCGCGTACGGAGTACGGGCCGCGCTCGCTTGCAGTCTCGCAGTACCGCGGCGACCCTCGAGTCAGGAGCATCCGTCGTTGCCCGTCGACGTCGCGCATCGGTCCCGTGCCCGACGAAAAGGGGGATTCGCGGTGTGGACGAGGAGGCCGCGCCGTCGTGAAACGTGAGAACCTCTCCCGCTCTCCGTGACCAAATTCGTGCGCGTCGCCCGTCGCCGTCGCCGTCGCCGCGGCGCCTCTTCGGCCGGGAGGCCGAATTCCGTGAGTCCTGAGCGATCGGCCGGGAAAAAGGGAGAGAGATAGAAAGAATAACTTCGCCGCGCTACCTGTGCCGCCCCGACGTTTCCCCTCCCTCCCGCGCGTCGCGATTCGCAATACGAGATCTCGACTCCCCGCGATGCCTGTGTGACATATACGTGCGCGAGGTGTTTTTACGAGTATTCCTGCTGCCCACTTCGCCGTCCCCCCCGCGCCACAGCCCGGAATCCGGAGAGAAAGGGGTTGTAGACGGAGGGTGGGAGCGAGACGTCGAAGGTGTCGGAAAGGTAATACGTCTGAGAAGTGTTACGTATGCGTTGCAAAACTCAAGTACGCGGTGAATGATTGATTTTATCTCGATGCAGAGAGATTTTTGTAATACGATTTCTAAAAAAATATCGTTTGGTATCAATGCAACAATCACCTGCGACTTGTTTTGGAATTTTCGGTGATCGGTGATCAACCGAGAGTGTGCGGCTTTCGCGTGATTCGATCCTATCCAAGATCCTATCGTTTTGTGCGCGTATGTCGTGTTTATTACGGAACGGGATCTCCTCATCTCGGTTCTGGAGCACGAAGCACTTTCCCTGTATATCGATTTTCTTTCCTTCGAGCCTGAATTTCGTTGAAGGCTCGTAGGAAAGGCACTCTCGCAAGGTGCCTTTGAAAACACGCTGACAAGTTTTTGGGCAGACACATCGACGGATACAGAAGTGATTTGCGCTAAAGGCTAATTTATTTTCGGGAACACTTGTGTATTCTCTCTTTTACGCGATAAGCTCGAATTCTTTGAACGACTGTTCACTCAATGTCGAGTTGGTAAACGGGAGGTCGAAGGCGCTCCTTTCACGGAAAAGAGTCCATACGTCGGTGCATCGCTAGCGATCGCCACTGCGTTCTCCGTGTCTGAGGTGTGCAGAGTTTCTATACTTTTTCCCCATCTGTCGAACTCACTGATAGAATATCGCGCTTCGCTTTTGCGCGATTTTCTCTCTTCACAATACGTTACACAGTTAGCACATGTACCATAATGATAAAAATTCCAATGAAAATATATTTTTTAACATATGTTAAAAAATAACAATTTAACAATTAACAATACGATTCTAAGTAAATGTTTGCAATCGCATGATACGAATTCTCATCCTGTTTGCATTCTATTTATATCTTGATATTCTTTAGCGGATTGAAAAATTGTTTTTTACACCGTTTAAAAAATATAACTCATGATGTTTTAATACCCATTGTTATACGTATCATTTTTATCGACAGTTCAGTTTATTAAACAGCAATGACATTTGATACGTGCCGTGCGTCCGACGCGAGCTTCGATATAGTGTAGCCCGAGTTACATCCGTGAGTTAAGGTTATTATTACGCAGTAACTATTACGTATTCGCGGGATGCGCAGCTCAGATTTTGGCAAGGGGAGATTCCATTAACTACGGTTTGGAACCCTAAATCCCAAGCTCGCTCCGGCTCTACACACACAGTGGTTCCGTCTCAGATTCCTCGACGCGTGACTATTAATTCCCCAAAGCTAATTATTCGAAACGTGTCGCGTATGAAAACTAAGTTCCCGCAGAATTATATGGATTGTCCAGTAAATAATATACACCTATCAAATCTCACTGAGACTACAAACGAAATTGATTTAAAAAGCACAAGGCAGGATCAATATGTATGAAAGTAATGAAAATACTGCGATTGCGTTAAGAATTAAAATAAACGATTAATAAATAGATACTTTGAATTTGTTCTCGAAGAGTTTTGCGCGAATGATAATGCTCCAATCTGTTCCCCGACGAAGATTGGCGGGAAAACATTACGCGCTGCTCTTGCAAATTCATGCAAAGCCCTTCTTTTCGGACAAGATTCTCGGGCTTTTCATTATTTACGTGCCTGCAAGTAATCAGATTTGCGACAACTTGTTGCTTACCGGAAAGCGCGCGCGGAAAGACGAAGTTCGAAGACACCGAGGCGGAGATTCGCGCTAACAGACCGGCGAAAGATACAAGGGAAAGGGAGAGAGAGAGAGAGAGAGAGAGAGAGAGAAAGGGAGAGAAATCAGCCCCCGCGGCCATTAAATTAATCAACCGCTCGACCCGGGAAAACCAGCGACGGGCCCCAAGTCTGGAAACTCTTCGTCATCCACGATCGTTTGTACACCCGCGCTGTCGCTTTTCCCTCGGTCGCCGTCGTTTCTACTTTCCGGGGAGACGGCGACGATGACGACGGAATAGGGTCACCGGGGCTGAAAAACGAACGACGTAGATCCCGCAGTAAGACCGAGCGAGAACGCGGTGGCCCGGAGTGTCGGCTCGCGGGAAACATAACTCGCGCCCGCGTGTGAGTTACCTCGCCGGCTCCGGTAATGAAACATAATGAATTGTAAAGCAAAAAAGAATTTTCAGTTACCCGCTGCTGCATGCTCGCGGGGACGGCTCGAAGGGACTCGCGCTCCGCGGTTAAATAATGTGCTCCACGGCTCGTACTCCCGGTCGCAAACCCCCCCCCCCCCTTCTCTCTCTCTTTCTCTCTCCGATGAAATTTACTCCAGCTCTGCGTTCCCCGAAGCTGCGCTACGTCGAGTTCGACTCTCCGAACGAACTATAATTACATATTTTTACGCAACCCGTTAGTGACGCGAGCCGCGAATTGAGGACGACCTCTCCAGAATGAGACGTTTGCCGTATGTTTTCACGGGCAAAAATAATACAGGAAAGACTACAACCCAGAGGCTCCATTTCTGCACGATGCATCTTAGAGAATAGAATGAAACCGGATAGGCATGTTATTCTTCGCGAAGGAAGAAAATTTCGATGTCGCTTTCCCGTTAAAGAAAAAATTAACGTGATAAGCTTCCTTTCCGTAATTTAATAATTCTTTGTATTAAATAATTTTACAATAAATCGAGATTCTATTATTAAAACTTAAAAGACTTACGAATATTTCTTGCAATCGATAAAAAGTTAATCGTGCTAAACGATAAAATTACACGAGTTTTTGCATTTTGCCTGTCAAGTACACAAAGGCTTCTAATGATGGAAACTATTTATATCACAGCAAGATGGTGGATAATATAGAATGCATTGAATCGTGTGTCTGTCTCGGATCCGGTTTCTCACAATTGCACAGCGCATTGTGATCAATATCGAATCGGGAAGATATACTGAATAATGCTGAACATCGAAAGTTCCTCGTAGTTATCTCGTTGCACCGACACGGAGGGAAATGCTCGGCGATGAATTCGAAGTTCGAGAAGAGTTTTCGCGCAAGGGATATAAATATTTTCCGTGTGCTTTTCATTAGCTGTTCGTTTACTTTTTAGTCCTTCTAAAAAGGCTAGCGGCGAGATACAGAACGCTCATCTTAAAAACGGAAATCTTGCAGTTACGTTTAAGAAAGAAGTTTTTCCAAGCATTAAGACCGTAAATAGGCAATACTTTCGAGCGTACGACTCTCAATACTTATGCCATAGAGATATATTTGTACGAATATTTAGTCTCACAAGAATAACTTAGTTAGTTGCTCAATGCCTTATACAAGTGACAATCGAAGTGCGCAACGACATTTATTGTTATTTTATAACTTTTAGAATTTTGTCGTACAATTTATTAGCAAAGAGCAGAAATAATAATTATTTTATTTTAATACTTGCATTTTTATAAAATTTATTTTATCTTCATAAAAAAAGCGCGTAATTTTTTAAATTCGTCTTGCATATAAATATACTCGTATTTTCCTATGTAAAGATAACAGAATATTTTTATAAATATTTTCGTATCACGGTATTACAAATTTGATTTGATAAACAGAAATATTTGTTAAAATATTGAGTAACATAACCCATCAATTCCCCCTGGAACGATTCCAGCGTCGAGATTTTCCTTAGAGTGGTCAGCTAAAAAAAAACAAAAAAAAAGTCGAGAACGTCACCATCGGCTCGAGATCTCGACGACTCGCGACACGTCGAGTGGCGTCGACCGATCGGAAGTGATTTGGATGCGATTTGAATTTTGAACGCGCGCAAATCTACATACGTAAACATGTGAGGAACACGCCGCACTCGCTTGCCCGCGGGATATGATCGCGTACCCGTGCAATTTCGCATAATCGCAATTGGGAAGAGGGACAACCGACCGATTCCTGGTCGATTTTCAATCGGTAGATTACGGAGTTTTAAAGCACCGCGTGATTTATGCGACTCGCGAGGAGCATTATACGTATGCGGGAGCACAGGCGGGAGCGGTGGCGGCTTTTACGGCGAGCATTTTTCCCAATCGTTTCCATGGATAAGATGATAATTGAAGAACGTTCGACCTCTCTCTTTTCACAATCAAGTATAATGGATTCACTTAGGAAAGAAATCGACACGCGCTCCTATACGCGCGATGGACCGCGAGGGACGTAACGGCGCGGGTTCGCCGAGCATCACCTTTTACGCGCGGCGGGCACTTTATCCGCCCGCGCGATAATACCGCGTTATCCTTTTGATTACGTCCATGTAAAAGACCCCCCGGAATCACCCCTCCCCCTGCTGAGCTCTCCGCACCACCTGAATTATTCAGCAGTCACGCGGGGAAACGCGCGCGGCGGCGCGTCTCCTCTCTTTCGTCGCGACATGCCTGCGCCCTGCGGATCAATCTTGTTTACCGCGCGGAAACCGGGTTACCACTCGCGGAGCTGCTTAACAATACAATTTGCGGACGGTGTGCACTCATTTCTGAACTATTCTGAATCATCATATGTGCCTCCACGTATCGCACGAGGGCAACATGCATTCGTTACCACAATCGAGATTGACTTTCAAGAGTTCCTTCTAATGATTTGGTTCGCCAATGACGGTTAGAATCGATTTTTCCTCGAAAATTTCGTGAAAACAGTCAAATATTAAATTACAATTTAAAAGAGCTTTAACTCACACATAGCGATTCGAAATATTTTGTCGTAAAAATTTCGAAAAATGTCTATAATGAAAAATGTTTATAATGAAAAATGTCTATAGTGAAGATAAATGAAGATATTTTACTGTTATTCTTCGTTGCATTCGAACGCCGCGATTATGCGATAACACGCGTGATTATGCAGGACATGCATGTAATGGTTTGACGCCTATAGTCCTGACCTTAAAACGAGACATTTTTCTCGCCGACGGAAATATCAGATGATTGCGCGGCACCGGGACATGATGAATTGTTACCCCACTTTATTCTATTTCAGTCCATTCCCCGATAAGAGATAAGCTTTATATTTTCCCCGGACGGTATTATGTAGTAGTAACGGTAGAAATTACTACCCGGAGTAGCTGCACTTGTAGGTCGTTGCGCAACTTTATCTTTCCTTGACGTTTCCTTGTACGGAGCACTTTAGAGAAGTTTCACATTTCTTTTAATATTTTGTTGGAAACACACGCTCGGGAAACTGTCGAGAATAACGCCCGCGCGCGCGCGCGCGAGCACTCGCACGTCGAATTCCTCATCGCACGCGTTTCGAAGCGTTCCAAGTATACAGCGGTACACGTGGACACGTTAAACACGTGCCGCATACCTTGGCACGCGTCAGCCAAGTTAATAGGTCGCTTGACAACGACTTTCTTCATTTTTTTCACCTTTCTTGTCCCCCGTAGATGTCCCCTGGCACGTGGCACCGGTGGTCGGTGCTCTTGCTGCTCCTGCTCGCCACGAGATTCCTCTCCGTGCACGGCCAATGCGGCTCGTACGCCCAGGACCGGCAGGAGAAGCAGGAGAAGCAGGACAAGCTGGCGCTCTACAAGGTCATGTTGAGGACCTACTGGTCGAGAGCGCGATTCCCGAGACATTATCCGGAGTGGAAGCCTCCAGCGCAGTTCGGCAAGCTGATTGGTGAGTAGTTTGTGTGCAGCATCACAGAACCGTTCTGCGGAAAACAGAACGCGGCGCAACTTTCGATCCTAGAATTCGCGCCATAGCACTTTGTCCGGGACAATTTTTGTATTCATTTCTCTCGATTGTGCTTCCAGGCATACATATTTTATCACCGAGAGATACGTTCATGTTTTATTTGCAACTAAAAATTTGCATAGTATACAGCGATGAATAAAACATCGAAGAACTTACAATTATTATTCTAGGATTCGACTGCTGCAGTCTCGACTGCCTGCAGCGGTGGGTAAAAGCCTTAAGTTATTTGTGTAACTGGCGTATGAAAGGAATAGAGCGATTGTACGTGCCAAAAGCAGTTTTTCCAGAGCAGTTATCATCCAATTCGAAACGCTGATGTCTCATTTGCGACGCATTCGAATCCGGCTCGCATTTCGAGCGAAAATTGAAATGTAAAACGACACGTCGAAAATACTTCGCCTCTTTACATACCTATCAAATGCAGTTTTAATCGAACGCGGCATCATGAAAATTAGATTAAATCGTTCCCTGTGTGATTCGAATCCTGTCATTAAAAAAAAAACGCGATAAAAGAGCGAGATTTTTCTGATTATTTCAAATCTACGCGCGAGCAACGCGCGGATCATCCGCAGACGAGTGGCGTCACATTAATGAGACCTCTCGACGCTTTCTCTCTTTCTCTCGCTGACATTCGCGCATTCCATCGATTCCCCAGTGTACGGCGGTCTCTCGCCCGTCACCGCCGAAACTTTAATTCGATCAAATCCCTCCAGGTCTCCGCGCGATTCCGATCACGGCGAATACTTATTTCTCCCGGCGGTTTGCGGGTCGGTCGCGCGATTCGGGCAACGTCAGCCCGAGTCTTATTCCCCGGGTTTATTCTCTTTCGACCTCCTTTCCTCAGCAGCGCGAAGACGACGGGGGAAGGGGGGATGAAACGATAATTGGAGAAGTTGGGAATTATCGCATGACGCCGCTGGCGTTTGCAGTCGACTGTGATGCCGCGTCTGACGCGAATTTGAAATGTCGTCGCTTGTGCATGGATGCCCTCAAAGTGGCTGCAGGATACACGAGGTGTCCCGGAGGCTATCAGTTTCCGACTTTTATTTAAATAATTCCTTCAACTAATTTAAGATATCTGTTATCTGAGATTTTGCACTAATTGTAAGACTATAATACAATCGAGTGTTAAGCGATAACTGTTGTTTCGCTATTACATCGATCGCAGATTGATCTGACTATCTGATCTTAGTCACTCCTAGTTGGGCGACACCCTGTAGACACACGAACAGGTGTCGTAAGTCTTCGTCGGTCCATAAATCCCTCGCATCCCTTCTCACTACCAGTTAGTCTCTATAGTTTCGCGCTTTCGGTTGGTGTCTGTGGTCGCGACCCTTCGTTCTCGCCTCGCCTCACCTCGCTCGGCCCACCTCCCACCTCCGCTGGCACTAGCCATCCCTTTCTTCCGTCGTGAAGTCGAATAAATCCCGCCGTTAGACCTGATCCGGCCGTTTCGCCGAATGTACGAGCGTTCCGCGAGAAACCTCAAATTCGAATTAGAAAGCCGCGCGCGCGCCGCCGAAATTCAATTTCCAAGCTCCAGCGGAGTCGAGAAACCGCGGTCGGCGGGCATGATATGAGGAGAATCCGGAGAGCTGCGGTTCCCTACCTCGGCCGCGTTTTGTTCTTCTGCCGAATCGTTTTCGTACGCCGACAGTAATGTTCCGCGGCTCGAAATTACTTCCTGAAATATCTTGTTCGAACATGATGCGAAGCTAAAAACGATTGCACTTTCTTACACGAGTGAATTGAAATGAAATAAAAGAAAAACATTTTACCGATAATCGAACGTGAACCAATTAATCACAAATAATTATATTTTTATAATTAGTTTCTCTTGCGTAATCGGAGATGCAATAGATTATTTTTTTGAAGTTTTATATACATATATATATCTGCTCGCCTTTCTTCGTTTAATAAATAAACTATCTGAATATATTTACTTCCAATCACGAAGTGCATTAGGGTTTATCTCGATGATAAGTTTAATAACTATGTTGCGGTCCAACCTGCTAAATCAATTTCGCAAGAATGTAATTTTGCACGCGACTAAGGAGGGACGCAACACGAGAAATCGGAAAAAGATGTATAGGTTGGCCCCGGGAAAGAAGATCGAATACCGGTAAAATAAAGAATTGGAGAGAAGGCATGACATTTTTTTCCGCGTGATACGAAAGGGCGACGTCAAGTGGGCTCGAAACAGAACAGAAACGGAACAAAAGCGGTGACAAAACGTAATCGAAAATCCTTTACGCCGTCCCGGAGAGAAATCGCGGACGCGAGGAAAACGAGGCCCGACGAGGGGTGGTTCGGGTCAGAGGGGACAGAGGATGGTACAGGCAGGTTTCTCTCTGCACACATTCCGCAGGACCTCCACGAAAGACCTCTCCGTGGATATATCCTGCGTGCACACGGACGAGCGAACACGTTCGATCGTTAACGGCCGACTAATGGAATGGAATTCGCATCGCTTCGTCCTCTCGCCGTATATACACCCCCCGTCGTTTCCGCCATTCCTTCAGCCGCGCAACCCCGAATCGTAAAACTGTTGCTGCGCGCGCGCCGCCGCCACCGTTGCTTTTCCCCTTCATGGCTCCGGTCGATTTAATTCGATTTTTTCTTCTCCTACCGCTGCTACCCTTCTCAGCCTCGGTATTTTCCTTCCACCTTTTCCCCTCTCTTTATCTCTTGTTCCTGAGTTCCGGAGCTAAGTGGAGGCGCACGCAACAGTTACGATTATGTTTTTTTTTTTAAAGCGTTATCGACTCTAGATATATGATATGCCATATACATTTTTTATACTTTATACAGCGCGCAAGTATAAAGATAAATCTCGCTTGGATAAAAATAGACAGATCCCTCAAATAATATTTATGGATTTTATAAGACGAAGATAAAATGATAAGAGCATTTTTGGTCGTTGTTGAGCATTTATAGTCGAATCGAATAATTTTAATGAAAGACTAAATTAGATGACATAAAATATAAAGGAACGTTTTAGTTCGCATGTATTTGTGAAAAATTGGTATGTTTAAAAAAAATCACATTTAACTAAATCGAAAATCAAGTATAAACGTATTGAAACAGTCATAAGTAAACCGGGTCGGAATAGATACGTATTTTGCTCACAATCAGTTACGAGCAACTTGCCTGTGCAACATATTCACGAGGAACAAAGAGACGCGCTGTTACCGCGCGCGTATCTGCAAGGCAAACACGATAATAATAGCGTCGCTAATGCACGGCAGACGCTACGCTAATGGCGAGCAAATATCTTTTTTTCAGCAGTAAAGCAAATTACATCAGTTAACAGCGAAAATCTTATAAATGTCTTTGCCTGGCTTGCGGAAACGTGAAATATTTTCTAAAACAATTTCGCGACACACTTTTCAAACGTTTCGATTATATAACGAATCTAATTTTAAGTTTAAAAATATACTTAACAATGTCACGATTGTTGGCATTTCACTTTGCTGAAATATTGAAGAAAAAAAATTCAATGAAAATTATATTTGACGTAGATGTATCACATCAATTGTCTGCAATAGCGCGCGCGTTTAGATAAACAGCGGCTCTTCCATAATAATACACAAAGTGTCGCATTGACACCGTGCACTGACGCAATAATCCCGTGACGATGAATTATTCTCCTGACAAAAAGCGCCGATCGATATTCAGATTTTTATTTCGTACGAGCGGCGGGATTATTACGGCCATATGTTTTCCATAATATGTTTCCCCACGTCGCTTTTATTCAGCGGCGATGATACACGTCGAAAGTTTGGGCTATTCGCGGGAAAGGGATTGTCCCGGAGCTATCGGGAAGCCAAAAGGCAGTTCGGGGGTATACGAAAGTTTGCCTATTTCCCGTATGCTAATAGACTTCATAACAGAGACAGGAAAGAATGATTTCCCTCGTCACTCCCCGATACGACGGTATCGTAGGACCGATAACGGTGCCGCGGGATAAACATCGTTTAAGATACTTTGTGTACCATTTCGTGGACGCGCTTTGAGGTGTATTCACGCAGTACTCCATCCATCTTTAAGTTCCCTCTGGCAGAATCTCTTTAGACGTTTGAGCGTCCTCTCTCCCCGTGGCGTGAATCATCCAGCGCCGCATAGGCCGGCCCAAAAATATCTCCGCGCGGTGAGCGCCGGCCTGCGATGTAAATGTGCCTGAATACGCTAGGATAGATTCACTAACCGACCACTAACTTCGGTAAATAATCACTTTCAAGCATCCGAGAATCAAGATGTCTTTATGTCTTCATCTTTCGAGAAGAAGCGACAACATACTAATGATACGTTGTCACCGTAAAATTGTATAACGTTAAAATGTATTCCTAAATAAATTAACAAATAAACAAATAAAACATATATAAATACATTTTAGTGATTATAATGAGTGCCGATTGGCACTCTGCCGACTGGGAGAGAGTGAGCTCCTGGATGCTCTGATGCGACCCATGCAAGTCCCGCGGAGATCTGATCGTGAGCGACTGCGACTGTATAGTCGCCCGTATGGGCGCGCAGCGCGCGGTGTGTCCAATATAACTTTATGCACGACGTACACAATATACCGCAGATTTCTCGACAAGTTCCCGCGTTTAGACACCGCCGACAGAACGTCTTGGAACTTCGCCGGAGGTGAGGCAGACTTCGCCAGACGCGGAACGGGGCCACGTAACAGCGCCCCTCCAAGTAAGATCGCGTACAGAGTCACGCGAACGATGCGTATGCACAACTTGTATACGTGCGCGCTCATGCAAGTACGCTAATCTCGCCGAACTTTCGAAATATACGTTCGCGTCCGCCTCCGAAGCATATTTTCCCTTCTTTATTAGATTTCCGGTCCCGCTTTCGCGGGATCCTCGACTCGGCGCGCGGCGACGTGGCGAAGAGCCAAGAGAAGAACGTAC